TGGGCCTCACATATGAGCGAATGTCTCCCTGTTGCTCCATCATCTCTGGATTTAATGCTGCAGAGGAGTCAGAAGGTGGCCTGGTTTTTGCATCTTTGTGGGAAGTTTTTTTTTTTTTTTTTCTGGCCTAGATACTTGTAAGATTTTCCCCTTTAAGTTTGTATGTCAAATCTTTGGCCAGAATGTGTCTAAGTATGCTCTCTTCACCAATTCTGCTAGAAAGCAGAGTCTGTCTAATCTGCTCATAGAGTCTGCACATTTCCATATGAAATTGCTGATTCTATAGTTAAAAAATGGTAGAATATTGACAATTTTGTAGGGTCCAATCTACTATGTCTGTCTTAAGCCCACTTGAGTTTGTTTCCTTCTTTAAAAAAAAATAAACTTCTTATTTGAGAATAGTTTCAGATTTACAGAAAAACTGGAGATAGTATATAGAGAGTTCCCATACTGCCCCCTCCCCGCAGTTTTCCCTATTATTAACATCTTATGTTAGTATGGTATGTTTGTTACAATTAATGGACCAATATTGATACATTATTATTATTATTTTTTTTGTCTTTTTTTGTGTCCGGCAACGGATTGCAACCCTCAGTGTCGCGCCTGCACCGGACCGGGACCGGCACGGGATCGCAACCCTCAGTGTCGCTCCCGCACCTCGCTCAGCCAGTGAGCAGGAACTGGTCCGCATGTGGGATCCGAACCCTCAGCGGGAGCGCCGCGCTCCCAAGCGGCGCACTGTAGCAGTGCGCCACCGGGCCGGCCCCAATATTGATACATTATTTTATTAGCTGAAGCACATCCTTTATTCAGATTCCCTTAGGTTTTTTTTTCTAATGGCTTTTTTCTATTCCTGGATCCCATCTAGGACACCTCATTCCATTTAGTTATCATGTCTCCTTAGGCTCCTGGAGGCTCAGACATTCCGCATTTTTGGTGATCATCACAGTTCTAAGGAGTATTGGTCAGGTATTTTGCAGAATGGCCTTCAACTGGAATTTGTCTGATTTTTTTCCCTGGGTAGACTGGGGTTATGGATTTGGGGGAGGAAGACCACAGAGGTTAACACGCCATTTCATCACATTATATCAAGGCTGCTGTCACATTATATCAAGGCTGAGGTAGTGTTTGTCAGGTTTCTCCACCGTCAAATTATTCTTTTTCCCCTTTTCACACGGTACTCTTTGGAAGGAAGGAAATTAATTAGTGGGTAATCATAACTCCCTCCTTGGAGCGTGAAGTATCTACATATGTTATTGGAATTCTGCATAGGAGATTTGTCTATTCTCTCCTGTGCATTTATTCAATAATTTATATAAGTATGGGCTAGTGGATATTTATTTCATAATATCCACAAAAAACTAGTATTGGGTTATATGCCAATACTAGTTTTATGTTATCGCTCAAATTGTTCCAGCCTTGGTTCTCTCCTGTGCATTTATTCAATAATTTATATAAGTATGGGCTAGTGGATATTTATTTCATAATATCCACAAAATCTAGTATTGGGTTATATGCCAATACTAGTTTTATGTTATCGCTCAAATTGTTCCAGCCTTGGACATTGGGAGCTCTTTCAATCGGCTGCTGAACTCCTTTGACAACCCCCGTGTGTTCTGCTGCTGTTTTGGTCATTTTCTTTACTTTCCGGCACTACAAGATGCTCCAGGATCATCTCATATGTTTCCTCCCCCACAGAATCAGCCATTTCTCCAAGGAGCCCTGGTTCCTTTTGTTGCAGAATGGTATTAGACACCAAAATCCGGGTGCTAGACAACAACAAAATGTCTGTTGCTTCTGGGGCACCTGTTTTGCTTTTTATTTTGGTTCTGTTTCATTCGTCCTGGTTTTCCCTTAGGATCTCCCTTTTCCAGCATCAATAACTGTTGTCTGTTCTCTCATTGAATTGGTCTCTTTGGCCACTTCCTCTGAATTCTGGAAAACCGTCTCAGGTTTGTTCTCTACATTATTGATTTCCATTTCCCTTGGCTTTGACTCTGCTCTTTACTATCTCCAGTGCAGATTCTAGTCCTGCTATTTGATATTTGGTTTTCTCCCTTGTCCTCTGTACCTCCTTCTGCATCGTATCCCACAATAAGTCACAGACTCACTTTTCCTCTGAGCTTTGCAGAGTTACTACCTTTTCTTTGTTCCTGAGTATTTTGTCCTTGTGTCTTCTGTTGGTTTTGTCTGTCCAGACTTGGTATTTCATTCACACACACTCAACAAATTGTTAAGCTGGGTTTCAGGTGAACAGAAACAAAACAGTGACCAAGACAGAGAGAAACTTCTGCTTCGTGGAGTTTACATTCTAATGGGAAAAGACAGACGATAAAACAATTAGACAAAATGAGTTATGTCAAATGCTATTAGGGGTTGAACTGTGTCCCCCCAAAAGGTATGTTGATATCCTAATCCTAGTTACCTCAGGATGTGACCTTATTTAAAAGCAGGGTCACTGCAGATGTAATGAGTTAGGAAGAGGTCATACTGGAACAGGCTCTTAATCCAATACAACTGGTGCCCTAATAAGGAGACGATGTGAAGGGTAGGGGGGAAATGCCACATGAGGCAGAGACCGCAGCTACAAGCCAAAGACTGCCAAGGATTGCCCGTAATGCCAGAAGCTGAGAGAAGGGCAGGGAAGAGCCCTAGAGCCTTCCAGAGAGCACGGTCCTAGCACACCTTGATCTCGAACTTCTAGCCTCTAAAACCATGACAGAGTAAGTTTCTGGTACTTTGTTACCAGGAAATGAATATAGATGTCAATCAGTGAAACAGAGAAAATAAGAAAGGGGCAGTGGGAGTTGGAGGGGCAGGGATTTCAATGCTCCATAAAGTGCCCGGGGAAGGCCTCTGGGAACAGGGGATGACTGAGCCAAGACCCGAAAAAGGCGCAGGAAGGAGCCATGCAGGTGTCTGGGCAGAGGGGATCCTTTGCCCACAGACGGAGCATTCTGACCTGGGCCCTGCTCTCCTGCTTGTGGGATGCAATCCTTTCTCAAGCTCATGCAGGTGGTGGAGAAAGCTGGGCCACAGCATCATGCAGACCTGGGCTTGAGTCCCACCCACGACTTTTTAGTGGGGTGTCTTGGAGTCGTTCCTAAGCCTCTTCAGGCCTCAAGTCTCCATCTGTGAAACAGGGACATGAAAGTTTTCTCCACTCTTGGGCTTTGGGGAGGACTAAATGAGTGAGTGAAGGTCAAGGGCTCTGCACGGGGCCTGGCCCTTGGTCAGTCACTGCCAAGGCCAGCTATTTCCGCGCTATTGTCGTCATCGTCAGTATCACTCCTACCGCTGTTGGACTTGCTTGCTTTGAGCACAGCGCCCACTTCCATCTTGATTCTCTCAGGCTTTCAACTAGAACCTCTGCTCCACACACAAAGGCTCTTTAAACTTGAAAGCCCAAACACTGCTGGGCCCCTGAGGCGCAGGAAGCTATTTCAAGCGTTTGAGCACAGCGCCCACTTCCATCTTGATTCTCTCAGGCTTTCAACTAGAACCTCTGCTCCACACACAAAGCCTCTTTAAACTTGAAAGCCCAAACACTGCTGGGCCCCTGAGGCGCAGGAAGCTATTTCAAGCGCCGCCCTGGGGAGATGCCTCCTCTGTGGCAGAGAATGTCAGCGCCGCACCGGGGCTCCCTCCACCCCCACTCCGCCCCAGGTGCTCCTTGCAGAGTGGCCACCCCAGCCCCGAGCCCTCCAAGCCTGTGGCACTGCCGGGGAAGAGCTTGGGCAGATGTGGCTCCAGCTACCTGGGCTGCCAGCAGGCTCTCCCCTGGTGACTGTTTCTCATCTGCAGGGGCTCCCGGGGCTGTGTCTGCTCTGAGGAGGTGACTAACAATAGGCATGTTGCTTCCCTTGCTCCCCATCTCTGGGCTTTGAGCTCCCCATCTGTGGATTGAGGGATTTGGAAGGCAACAGCTCTAAACTGCCACCTGCTCTGACTGGGACAGCTTGGGACCCGCCCAAGACAGAAGGGACACACCAGCAGTTGGCATCTGGGGTCTCCATGCCAACGACTTTAAGTATGGGCATGAGGGAATAGAGGAGAGCAAAAGAGGAAGTCCACAGCTCCGACTACACTTGTACCTGCTTCCAAACATCCAGCAGCTCCCCACTACCCTCAGGATAAAAGACTAAACTTCTCAGGTCGGCATTCGAAGCTCCTGGGAACTGGCTGCAAACCCTGTTCCAGCCTCAGTGTCTTCCCTCCCATCTCCTCCCTGGAGACTTCAGGCTCGGTGGAATTCCTGCTGATCCCAAGCACAGGATGAGCATGCCCTGCCCTTGGATCTCCATCCTCCCCTCCCTGCCGCGCTCCTGCAGGCTGGGATCCTGCTCCACCCATCCTCCTTGGAGCCTTGTCTGAACCCTCTCCCCAGGTGGGATGAGCCACTTCCTCCCTTTGTTCCCAGGACCCTTCATTCCTGTTTCCCCTGGGAGGTATCTGTCTTCCTCTCCAGGCCATGCCTTGACAACCTGAGGACAAGGACAGTTCTGTGGGGGTCTGTGAGCCCAGGAGAGGGTCTGGCACACAAATGTGTCCGGGAGAGATTGCAGAATGAATGGACCAATGAAAGTCAGAGGCTTATTTACAACTGGAGAAACTTCTAGTTGACTTTTTCTTTTCCTAAAATGAATGTCACTGTATGGGGGTCAGGGGCATGGGCTTTCAGTCCCAGCAATACTTCCTTGCTGTGGGCTTTAGGCAAGATATTTCCTCTCTGGAGCCTCTTCTAAGTAGAGAAGATAATAATTTGTGCCCTACTTACCCCTTGGGCTGGGTTGAGAGATGTAACCTTACGGTGAGAGCTTAAATGGCTGTGTGCCTGGCAGTCAGCACCTTCGGCCAGTGCTGGACAGCGAGCAAGTGAGACACCCAGGGAAGCCAACCCCTGGAACCAAACTTCAGGCTCTTTCACAGTCAGGGGATGTGGGGAACCCCAGGAGCATCACCATCAGTCTGTCATTCAGGTTGTGGTCACTTGTGCCTACCTTAAGCTTTTTGACACTGGTGCAGGGATCATTGGAGAAGCTCTCGGTGTCCGAAATCTCGATGTCCTCACCATACAGAACCCCGGTCAGGTCGTTCCTCACCTGTCAGCAAAGAGAAAGCAGAGGGTGAGTGTGCTGGTGACCATAGGAAGGGCCAGTTCAGAGGGGTTGTCCTGGGGAAGCGGCTCCAGTGGGCAAAGTGATTTTCTCCACTCCACCAACAACACGAAGGAGTAGTTTCTTTCTTCATTATAAACTAGAGCACCCCCTGGGACCTCAGGGATCCCCCATCCCACCCTCCAATTGATACATGGACGCAAGGAGGCCAGACAGGGAAGGGACTTGCTAAGGGTGCCCAGGGAGTTCCTGCGAGAGTCCAGACTAGCACCCTTGCTAGTGTTTCTCCACCACATCACGCTGTCTCCAAATCAGCTATCCAACAATGTCTCTGTTTATATTTTGCACTATTTATTTGCAATATTATTTCACTTTTGCAGTGAAGAAAATAGCCAAGACATTCAGAGACAATGTAAATTAGAGGAAAGAGTAGGAGGTATGAAACCAGCCTGTGAGGTTAGACATAGCTCCATGTGTGCGGACACCCAGAACAACCAACATCTAGGTATCTACAAAGCACATAGCTGCGAACTCCATGTCACTGGGTCCAGCCAGTGTGGAGAGGTATCAGAGAGTAGTGGGGATTGTGGCAAACTGGTGACCACATGCCCCATTTAAATATAGCAGTTGCTACTTGGTTACTGTGCTAGAACTTGGGTCCAGGGTCACCAGACCTTCTGATTTTGGAGGGAGAAATCAGAAATCTAGACTTCACTTTTTAGTATTGACTATTTTGATGGTTTTTTTTTAAAAAAGAAAAAAAAATTAGGATCAAACCAAATAAGTCTGAAGTATGTATCTGACCTTTGGCCATATAGTGATGGGAACTGGACTGTGCATTTTAGTAGAAAGAACTGGGTAAGGGGACTCAGCTTCCAGGTCCTGCTCTGTCGTTGACTTGTTTGTGACCTTGGCCTCTCTGTATGGCCCTTATTTTCTGTGGGCCTCAGTTCCCTCCTCTTTGAGAGAAGATGATCTTTAAAAGCACCTCTTTTTGGGCTGGCCGGGTGGCGCACTGCTACAGTGCGCCGCTTGGGAAGCGTGGCGGCGCTCCCGCCTAGGGTTCGGATCCCACATACAGACCGGCCGCTCACTGGCTGAGCGAGGTGCGGGAGCAACACCGGGGGTTGCGATCCCGTTGCCGGTCCCAAAAAAAAAAAAAAAAAAAAAAAAAAAAAAAAAAAAAAGCACCTCTTTTTCACGCACTTTAGGATGACTATTATCAAAAACCAGAAAAGTGTCTGCGAGGGTGTGGAGAACCTAGAACGCTTGTGCACTGTTGGTGGGAATGTAAAACAGTGCAGCTGCTGTGGAGAACAGCAAGGCAGGCCCTCAAAAAATTAAACATAGAATTACCATATGACCCAGCAATTCCACTTCTGGGCATACCCAAAAGAACTGACAGCACGGACTTGAACTGTTCATAGCAGCGTTCTTCACGGTAACCAAAAGGCGGAAGCAACCCAAACGTTCATTGCTGATGGATGGATGGATGGGTGGATGGACAAACAGTGGCACATGATGACAGAATATTATGCAGCCTTAACAAGGAGTGGAATTCTGATACATGCTACAACATGGGTGAACCCTGAAGACATTACGCTGGGTGAAATAAGCTAGACATAAAATGACAAATATTGTATGATTCCACTTTTAGGTGCCTGGAGTAGTCAAATTCATAGAGACAGAGAGTAGAATGGTGGTTGCCAGGAGCTGGGGGAAGGAGGAAATTGGGAGTTACTGTTTAATGGGCACAGAGTTTCAGCTTGGGAAGATGACAAGTTCTGGAGATGGACAGTGGTGACAGTTGCACAAAAATGTGACTGTACTTAATGTTACTGAGCTGTATGTTTAAAAATGGCTGAAATGGCAAATTTCTGTTATGTATATTTTACTACAATAAAAAAAGCATCTCTTATTTCAACATTGGTGGATTCTTGTAATATACATATCAAAGTGTTTTGAATAAGCTGGCCCTAAATGTCACAGGGTGGTTACTGGGAAGCCACCACCAGGAAGGGGGAACAAAGGAGATTTCAATGAGAACTGCCATATTTTATTTCTTTAAAAGAAATAGGAAGCAAATGGAGCAAAATGTGAACATTTATTAATTCTGGCTAGTAAGCCCATGGGTGTTTATTTTATTCTGTGCTTTTCTGAATGCTTGAAATATTTTGTGATAAATGTTTTGTAAAAAGAAAGAAACTGCCACAGTCAGGTTAAACCTGTCCATCCTTAGTTTTTAGCTCTATTTTGATAGAAGATTGGGAGCTAGTTGGCTGAAAAAAAGTTAGCTTTTGCCATTAGAGTTTCTGTGGCCTCAGATCCTTTCAGGATGCAGACGGGGTCCCATTACCAGTTTTATGTGTCATGATGGTGTTGTGGTGCAATAGCAATGATTAAACACACAAACCGTGCAAACTAGCCACTGCTGGAGAGCAGTGCAACCCAATGCAGGGACTCCTGGGCATGCCCAGATAAGCCCTGGCTCTTGACTGGCACACACCAAATCTAGGGAAACAACTCAGCCTCTCTTGAGTCTCAGTCTTTTCACCTATAAAATGAGGGCAATACAGCAAGTAACTCACAGCGTTGATTCAAGGCTCAGCAAAAACATTGAGGATGTAAAGTGCCTCTAAAATTTTATACTCATTTATGCCTCTAAATGGTCACACTCTAAAATTCTATACACAGCTTAAATGTTGGAATGGTCATTTCCAGGCATCAATTTAGTCACTGTCTTGGGGTGTCTATATGTGTGTACTAGTGTGTGCGTAGAAGCTGTATATAAATACGACAGAACAAAATATTTTATAGGTGGTCAGAACTCAAAACAAACAAATAAAAAACACCCTGGAGGTCATCTCATCCCGCCCCCAATTTCACAGATGAGGAAACTGAGGTGTGACTCCCAGCCCAGTGCTCTTCCCAGGCTCCCAGGCTGGCTCTTCTGGATTTGGCCAGACGTGGACGTTTCTGAAGCTCCATAAACCAGAACAAGTCAGAACAGATGGTCAGAGCGATCAGCCACCCACCACCCATAATTTCAGCACCAAGGAGTCTGCACTCAGCTCAAGTATGAAGTCTAATACACGTTTTTAGGGAAAACAGGTGGAGGAAATCAGTAATAAATGGCACTTTAAAATAACCAAAGCTTGGAAAAGAAACAATTGATCTTCCTCACAAGGGAAAACTCCACACCCTCACATGTGGACAGAAGGATCCTTCAGTGCACTGATGAAAGGTTTACTGAGTAAATTTTTAAACAACTGTGTTTCCTTCCAGATCTGCAGGTACCTCTTGTTTAACGGAGCCAATGTCTTATGGCAGTATGCTATAAACAATTTCTGCAAAGTGAATTCTATTTTTCTATTCACCTCCATTATAAAAGTGGAAATGTGTTCTTCTGGGAAAGGAGTAACCCTTAACTCCCAAGAAAATAAAATACACTCACACGCACAGTCACACACACACACTCAAATAGTCGGGGCCCCGCTGGGGGCCTCATCTGCACATTGAGCCTGGTGAGGCAGCCCCCAGGGGTCTGATCTGCTGATAGGCCCTGGGCATCCTGAGAAGGGTGGGGAGAGAGGGGCGCTGATGGGCAGGGGAGGAAGAAGGCCGCTCCATCATGTGGAAGAGAGGACCAGGAGGGCAGGAGACACAGAGTGACAGCAGAACGAGGAAGGCTGTGAAGAGGCACCGGAGCTGCTAGAAGGGAGGTGAGGAAGGGTTGGGCTCCCTAAAGGCCAAGGGCCTAAGGCCCTGGGCATCCTGAGAGGGGTGGGGAGAGAGGGGCGCTGATGGGCAGGGGAGGAAGAAGGCCGCTCCATCATGTGGAAGAGAGGACCAGGAGGGCAGAAGACACAGAGTGACAGCAGAACGAGGAAGGCTGTGAACAGGCACCGGAGCTGCTAGAAGGGAGGTGAGGAAGGGTTGGGCTCCCTAAAGGCCAAGGGCCTCCAGGGAAAACTCTCCCTGCCTTTGCAGTAGTGAATCCAGGCCCCACACAGGAACAAATCTACAAGGAGCCCAAGACGTTTGATGTCACGGAGAAGAATGAGGGGTCAGAGCCCCAGGGATAGTGAATAACCTGGGACACGAGGCTTGGAGGCAGTAGCTGTTGATTATCCCTTCTCCCGCCGCCCTGAGAACTGGGGTGGACTGCGGGTGCGAGGTCGCATCAGAAATCATGTTGCTAAAGCAGTGCTTCTCCAAGTGCCGTCCCTGCACCAGTCACACCAGCATCACCTGGGCACTTGTCAGGAATGCAAACTCTCGGGCACCATCCCGGACCTGCTGAATCAGACACTCTGGGGTGCGGCCCAGCCACCTGTGTTTAACCCTCCAGGTAATTCTGTTACACACTCGAGTTTGAGAACATAAAGGAAGAGGATAGGTTTTAAGTAAACCATTGATGATGGTGTGAAAACAGTTTTTAATGACTTGGATTTTCCCCCTTGATTAGGAGACCAGGATGTATTAACTGAGCAAGGCAACTTCCAAAAGGGAGACGAAGACTAGGAACCACACTTTAAGAGGTATCACATCTAGAATGAAGGAAGGGACAGTGCATCTCAGACCACATGGAGTGCTGGGCTCAGTTCTGGTTGCCTTTATCAGGGCTAGTGACAAAGTTGCTCATTGTTAGAGGAGAGGCGTGTGGCTAGGACAGGAACCAAGGACTCTTCAGGGAGGCCATGGACATGGGGGTGGGGGTTGGAGAGTATAAAGGTCATAAAAGGTGGGACCAATAACTCCTTGGGCTCCTGTTTAGCTTTGGGAATCAAAGATTCAAATGCAAGGAAGCTAACATCTGAATTCAGACTTCAGGCTCTAGGGAAGTCCAACACTTTGCAAGTAGGCAGGAGCCAGGAGGAATCAGTGGCTTTGCGGGGAAGCCAGGAGCCATGGGGACACCCTGCTCAGGCTGAGCAGGGAGAGGTCAGATCAGCCGTCTGAATGGCAGAGACCAGTGCCTCTGC